AAAAAAAAAAAAACACATAAGAAACCATTTTCAGTAAATTATATTCTAACTAAAACAAAACAAAAATCAGTCATCAGATTAAAAACCAAACAAATATTGGTTTATCTTAGTTTCGGATCCTTCTTTAAAAGATGTTTTCAAACAACCTCCGATGTTTACATATAAAAAGATCTCAAAACTTGGCAAACAAGCTAGTCAGATCAGATTGTGATGACAATAAAGCATACATACAAGTTTGTTTTCCATGTCGAAATTGTACTGTACATCATGTTCTTCAAAACTACAATGCAAAGACTTTTTTGACAAATAAAATATGCCATATCAAATCTTGTATTACATGTTCTACAAAAAAATATATAAATATACTTACTTCAATGCCTATGTCCATTGATGCATGTTGGAAAAACATCAAGGCCTGACAATTAGAATTAGTGAACACAAATCAGCCATTCGTAGACGTGATGTTACTTCTCCAGTGGCCAGACACTTTGATTATAATCATAGTATTGAACAACTGAAATGTATAGGGATTGAGAAAGTAACGAATCTTTGCCGGGGTGGAGATGTTGAGAAAAGCCTCTTACAAAGAGAGGCGTCTTGGTTGTTTTATTTAAAAACCATGTCACCTTTGGGGTTAAATAAAGATTTTGACCTTTCATGTTTCTTGTAAGCTTTATGTGTGTGTGTGTGTGTGTGTGTGTGTGTGTGAGAGAGAGGGATTGCAATGTGAATGAAAGGCATGTTTTGCCTGATGTGTTATTGCTCCCATTGAATTTCGTTGAATTTTCTGCTGTTGTGGATGGAACTGATCTGGAGTCTGTGAATTTAGAAAATGTAATTACTACCACCTGTTAGTCTTCATTGGTCTTAATATAATCACTGAGTTACTGAGAACTTGTCACACTGACAAAGGCAGCAAGCGAAACGTTTGTCATCTGTTTTTATATCTCCTGCTATAATAAAGAGAATTTTAGAGTGCAGACCTTGAGTAATGCATGATTATAGAGGTAAAATGAGCGTTGATTGGATTATTTGCACATGATCGTTAAGGTATTATACCTGGAGCATCCTGGGCGTTACAACGGTCAGTATCACAGCAGAAAGAAGACATCTTTGCACTGCCAAAGTTGTAGGACGTGGTTTGACAGTCATTTGGTAAAGCACAACCTTTAACCTTAACTGTAGGACTACTGTCACCTACAAAAAATAAAATGAATGATACTGGTATGACAAGTTCAAATGCACAGCAGAAATCTAATCTGCATATTCTATTTAAATATATGCATTTGCACAAATATAACAGTAAATTTCAATTCATCACACTGGACTTACCTATTTGTGTCACCGCTGTTAAACTCATACACTTGGAAAATTCAGCTTCACAAGTGATCTCCTTTTGATCCGCACAAGAACCCGTCAGACCCTTACACTCATAACATCTGAGAGAGTGTCCTTTAGTAATAAAACAGAGAGATGGTGAGCGAGAGACCCTGTATTTGTACCTATTAAAAACAAACACTATTTATCTTTGTACCTCCAGTGAAAAGAATGAGCAAAAGAAAAACTGAGACTTGCAGATCCATCTTTGTTCAGGAGGTGAATGAGGTGATGTGTTTCAGTGCCGATTTTATATCCTAGAAAAAGGGGCGGGGCTTTGTGAAATAATGACAGGTTAACAGAAAGACATAAAACCAGTAGATATGTCAGGAAATAGAAATTAGGAATATAGACATTTTAAGGAATGTGTATAGTAGGTTTACTTTTGTCAATCTATTAACAATAATTACAAGACCTTAGAAAAAGGACTGGATTTATCAGATTGAGTCAGCTCTGAAATGTGAAGAATTGGGTTTAAAAAATGCCAGATACACTAAATCTTCCTCTTTCTGGAGAGTTTCCCAAAAGCAAGTTTGGAATAATTACATTTTTAAATGTTTTTGAAAGAAGACTCTTATGCTCACCAATAATGCTTGTATTTGATCAAGAATCCTGAAAAAAAAAGCATTATTATATGGTGTTTTGGTGCTCAAGAAACATTTATTATTAACATCAATGTAGGAAAAAGTATTTTTTCTGGAAACTTTTACACCCAATACATTTAAGGATATTTGTTGAATAGAAAATTCAAACAAACAGCATTTATGTGAAAATAGAAAATCTTATAAATGTATTTTACTGTCACTTTTGAACAATTTAATGCTTTAATCCAATTCAACCCTTGCAGAGTAAAATAATTTTTTAAAATTTATGTTTTTTTTATTTTTTATCTTACCCCAAACTGTTGAATGGTAGTGCATCACGGTTTCCACGGAAATATGAAGCAGCACAGCCATTTTAAACATTGATAATAATAAGAAATCTTTTCTATGTAAATCAGCATATTACACTGATTTCTAAAGGATCATGTGACACTGCAGACAGGAGTAATAATGCTGAAAATTCAGCTGGAGGGCCACTGTCCAGCTTCAACCCTAATTAAACTCACCTGAACCAGCTAATCAGGTCTTCAGGATTACTGCAAGCTTCCAGGAAGGTGTGTTTGGGCAGGACGGATGTGACTCCTATGCAATATACATACAGTATCCCTATTATGACTCATTAATACAACAGAAACTATATGTAAGAATAATATATTATACACAATTTACATGTTAACCAAAATAGAAACCTTTCTGAAATGACTATTTCCTTTTCATCAGATATTCCGTACCAGAAGAAAGACAGCCGGGATTGCATTGATGAGGGCGAGTAAATGAATGTTCACTTTTGGGTGAACTATAACTTTAACCACAAACGGATCTTCAAAGTTTTTAATTAGCCGCACCACATTAGATTATGTTTTTATGGAGCCCCTAAAGGGACATGGTGGTGGGAAAAAAATTCGGGGTGGGAGGAAAAAAATGTTTGCGTTCCCTCGCAAAAGTTTTGCGAGAGAACGCAAAAAATCTGACAAATATTTTTTCCTCCCACCCCAAATTTTTTCACTCAATCTGATTTTTTCCCACCACCATGTCCCTTTAGGGGCTCCGTACTACGTACAAAACGCAAATATCTTTTGCGAGAGAACGCAAAATATCTTTGCGAGAGAACGCAAAAGTTTTGCGAGGGAATGCAAATATATTTGCGAGAGAACGCAAAGTTTCTCGAGGGAACGCAAAAGTTTTGCGAGAGAACGCAAAAAAAAAATTTCCTCGCACCCCGAATTTTTTTCCCACCACCATGTCCCTTTAGGGGCTCAGTACTTTAGGGGCTCCGTACAAAAGAGATTTAATTACGGTACATCTTTACAATATAAATCTCTGGACCTGACAGTTAGACTTCAGTTCGCATAGGAATGCTTAAGGTTTGGCCTGGTGGATATTCAGGAATGAAGAAATGAAAAATCATGGGAATGAAATAAAAACAAATATAAGTTAAGATGAAGGGAAGGTTCCTTGCCCAGAAAATGGTAGGCAAATATGTACTGTAGGAAGGGTGGAGTAAGTTGAGCCACCCTTTTTAATGGAAGAATGCATAATTTTTGTATGTTCAAAAGAAGCATGTCAAATCTTGCTGTTTGTAATTGAAGTATTTTTATGCCACCCTTTTATGACTGACTGTGCATGTGAAGTACAGTGATACTTTCCTATCAAATATCATGTTGATGACTTGCCATAAATGAAGCACTTTTCCCAACATGATGGCTTTGAGGAAAGATGCTCGAGTGATTGTACTTGCTTTGGCTATTATTATTTATTTTTTGTATATATCAAAATTTGTATTAAAAAATTGTATATTTTGTATATATAATTATTTATTGTATATATCAAACCTACAAAACACATAGATCTATATAAAAACAGACACTTCAAAATATGAAGGTTCTTACCCATTTGCAGGAAGTAGTAGCATTAATTGGTTTGATTGCTAAACTTGGGGAAATACAAGCAGGAGTGCCATTTCCTATATAGCATTCTTTGTTTGATTGTTTAATTAATATATACAATGGTTTACTTGCATGTTATATTGTCCTGGTCCTAGTTCAGTAAAATATAATTTTGTACTTTATTATTATTATTATTATTGATTACTTAGATCTTATTTACTGAAATGTACAAAAACAAAATGATTGAAACATTAGACTGACAGTTACAGTTATTTCTCAACTGGTTGTGATTCAGTCATCGTGTAAAGGTTTGTGGACACCTCCTTATGATTAATGGGTTTGAAAATCCCAGTGAAAGCAAATCTTGCTGTTATGTCATGCAGTCACTTTCTATAGACATTTTGTAACAACTCCCAATATTATTACTCCCAATATTGGGAGTTGTTACAATTTGAGTAGGTGCTTTTGAATCAGGTCTTGAAGAGCTTAATGTACCTGCACCAAACCCAGACCTGAACCACTGACTCTGTAACATCTATTGCAAAACTGTAGAAGAGTGGAACTGTAATAGCTGCAAAGAGAGGATTAACTCCCTATAAACACATGTGGCTTTGAATTCATTTAAACATTAAATGTTCAGCAGGAACATATGAGTGTGATGTTCTGGAGTTCATACGCTTTTGCCCATATAGTGCATTTTTACTATGGTGTCAGTGTGAAGTAATGCATATGAATGTTATGGTATAAATAGTTATGTTTCTGTTGATAAAATATTGACAGAGAAACATAGTTAAATAAATTAGTTTGGATTAAAAATCAAATTCAAGGCAGCTACAGCTACCTTTACCTTAATATCAAGCTATATATATATATATATATATATATACAGTATATATATAGGATTTTCATTGCATTTTCCTCTATGGAAGTAAATTATGCTAGGTGTACGTTTTATAGAACCACATTTTACGTAAAATACATATGAATTATCATGAGATCACGTTGGTCTGACACATGCTGAAAGAATATGGTCTGGGCATATGTTGATTATCAATCAATCCTCACTCAATATGTTTGTGGAACGCAATGAGAAAAAGTCTGTATGCACAAGCAGTGCTCTCTTGTGGCCTTATCGGTCTTTGTCAGTCACGTGCGTTTATTATGTGTGACGTCACCGAGGCGCCATTTTGAAGGTATCGTTGCATTGAGCAGTCAACTAAAAGTGTGCAGAGCCGTGCAGTAAAGACCGATTAAATCGTCATACTGGAGAAACAGATGCAAACCCGAACATAACCGGAGATATGTTGGCAAATATGATGATTTTGCATATCACCGCTGCAACCCAGGCCATCTGACGCGGCGACGCCTCTTGTTGTTTAGTCTTTTTTTCAAGTGTGAGACCTAAAATATCTTTCTTCGTGGTGAGTTTTTGACCTTTTCTATCGTGTAATTCACTATTGCACACTTTAACACAACAAGAACGTACCATTTTAAATCAAATAAAAAAGACAATTCTCTAACTACAGAACACCTCGGCTTTGATACCCTACAAATGGCGGAGATACCCAAAATGCACTTCGATTCTCGTGAGTGTGACGTCACCTGACAAAGACCGATTGCAAACACAATACGTGTCTTAAGTTTTTCAAGCAATAACATTTTTTCTTTTTACATGCAAATATAAATACAGCACACACATTATAAATAGAAAGACAACATGTTACTACAACAAAAATTGAGATGTGCAGTAGGTGTTTTGATGTTAGCATGTGCAAAGATCTTAGGCTGTCTGTTTTCACCTGCTGATAAATGATGCTAAATACAGTTTTCAAATCCATCATACTGCATATACCGATGTATGTCGCCACTGTTAAACTTTAGTACTTGGAAGCTCCACTGGGATGTCACTTGTTTTTGTACACAAGAACCCATCAGTGTCCTTTGGGATTTGTACCCACCAACAATTCAAATACTATTTGTCTTTGTACTTCCAGTGAAAAGAATGAAAAAAAACAAATTTGATCAGGTGAATGAAACAACATGCCTGTTGCAGCAGAAATGTCTGTCCGAATGGTTGTCACAAGTAACAGCACATGTTGTAGGCCTATTTCTCATTTGCAAGTTGTTTTGGATAAAAGCGTCCACTAAATGAATAAATGTAAACGTCACTCGCTTGGTTTTTCATAGGGATTATTAATAATAGGGATATTATAATAATAGGGATTTTTTTTTTTTTCCAGATCTGAGTCGTGGATGGGTCTTTTTATTATTTTTGCAAAATACAGTACAGGGGCCCGTTCTTCGTACGTCGCTGCTTAGCCTACATCCGAGATTAAATGTCACATCCAAGATGATATCATCGCGCTAATCAGGATCTGGCTGATTCGGTTGTTGTTGATGATTAGTATGGCTGGATTGAGTTATCTGAGATAATTGCGCGTTCTATGGCAAGCCGTTTTGACTTTTGGTTGGTTTAAAAGGGGCTATGCATCAATACTCGAAACCACGATCAGCAATGCAGCGATTGGCTGGCGGCAAGACAGCAACGTAAGATTTGTTATGTGACAGCATTAACTGGCTGTGTCTATAGAATTAAAGACTACACAACATTATTATATTATCTTTAAATTAATTTTTAAATGATCATTATTTTAAATTATTGTCCCTGGATTAGTAGGGTACTCTTGTAGTAAAGTAGCGGTGGTAGCGGACAGATTTTAAGTATAATTTCTGCTTAAAACGATCAGGAAGAATCAAA